TTTGTGTCATTCAGTAACAATATCATGATTTTTTTTCTAACAGCTGTATCATAGGTTTTTTTTTTGACTTCTTTTCTTTAAATCTTGTTGGTTTAAATGAGGACACGAAATGCATCTTCGCATAAGTTTTACAGAAAACAAAAATATGAGATTTTTGGGAGTGATTTTATATTTAGAGTTTTCCAGTGATATTTGAAAATGTGGAGGAAGAAAATGCAATAAAAATAGCTTCAAACAATGATGGGATGACTGAAGTGGATTTATTGCCGATCGCCGAAACTTCAACCACTATCGCTTCCTCTAGTTCCGAAAATACGGTAGGTTAAATCCCGAGACTTTCGCTTCCGAAAATGCTATTAATTTGGTAGTATATGTTATTCACCTTCATTCCAGTTTTATATTCATATTAGAAATGTGTGCTCTCACTATTTCATCTATAATTTACCATTAAAATTTTCTTTAAATTTTTTTGATTTTTGCTTCTTTAAAACTAACTGTATTTTTTTTCTTCCTAATTCCAGTAGACAGTGTTATGAATTTCAATTCTTTTTTCATGAATTTCATGTGAGAATTAGTTGGAAAAGGAAAAATCTTTCCAGTGTAATTGATGACTTTTTTTAATTTAAAAAAAAAAAAAATGATAGAGTAAGAGATTTAAAGTTATGAAATTTTATGGCAGATTAAACGAGGACTATTAATTTCAGCATTTTCATTTGAAGAAATACTGACGTATAACGTTTTATTGTGATAGCATAGAAAAGTATCAGTGAAATTAGTTAATAAAAATTATGTATCATTTTTTGCTTTCAATGTTTCAATTATTGCTATGTGATTTCAATTGATCAAATTGTGCGAATGTGGATGAATGTAAAAGTTATTAACAACTAATTAATTATATGTTGAATTTGGGTTACAAAAAAAATTCATTTGGAAGCTTCCCGTATAGGGCTTGAATTTTGTTTGTTCCATTTCAGACAACATTTACTATACATCTTGTGCGGAAAGAACTATTATCTTCAGAGACGGTATGATAAAATCAATCATATGACATTTGTTCCTTTTTTTTTTTTAATAGCCTAATTAATGCTTTCTTTTGTTTTGATAGACTGCTTTATGCATTAACTATCAAGTTTGTGTTTTATTGTGACATAACTTGTGTTTGTGTTGACAGTTGGACTAATCGGCTTTTGATAATATGTTGTAGTAATGTTTGTGCAGGTGTGTCTGTGTTTGTGTATGTGTGTGTGTGTGTGTGTGTGTGTGTGTTTCTGTACTAAAGTTATTATATGAACGTTTAGGAACGTTTTGAGATGGAATCGAAAGAAGCCTATAAATTTTTGAGAGGATATATTGGGACAAAAAAAAAAAGATTTGAAAGAATACTGAAATTCTTTGTTTTATCTTTGTAAAAAAAAAAAAAAAAATTGTCTTAAATTTTTTCATAAATCTTGAAAAAAAAAATAGTCGTTTGAAGTTTTCAAAAATTAATAGGCAAATTATTAATGCATGGTTTGTTGTTGTTTTTAGTTCTTTTTTTCTTTTTTCCCTTGGACTAATGTTAATATAAATTCAATAATTTTTATTATTAATCGCTTTGTGCTGAGAGCACCAAAACATTATTGTTAAATGGAAATTGTTAGTTATTTAAAATAAGTTACTTTACATCTCGTAGCAAAATAGTTTCCAAAAAAAAAAAAAAAAAAATCATCGCAGATTTCTAGATAAAAAAAAAATATATATCATTAAAATTTTTTATTCTTATAAAGATAAAAAATGAGTTGGGAAATATTTTGAGTAGTTTTTTTTTGTTATTTCACTTTGGTATTGTCATGTTTGATGAAAAAAAAAAAAAAAAAAATCACAATAACGATGAATTTTATAGTGATACACAAATGCTTAAGCAGCCATCAGTGATTTTTTTTTTTTTGTTAATGAAAATTATTGTATTTGAATTTTATGGTATAATTGCAGTTTGGTACTTCTCATTCTGGAATGCAGTCGCCAGTTAACGATTCTTTTGAACAGATGTTAAATGCGGTAAAGCCATTACACATTAGCACACCTACTGGAAATTCTGGTCCTGATAACATAACGACAACGATGACGAAAACAAATAATGTTGAATGTGATATTAATAGATATGAAAGTATTGAAAAATCATTAGAATATGATCATAATAACTACGCTACAACCTCTCAACATTTAATAAATAATGAGAAATTAGGAGTTATTGCAAGACGAAATCCTAACAATTCGATTACTCGATCTGCTGCTAAAATATTCTTCTCATTACTGCTATTTTGGCTTCTATTAATTGCCGTTGCTATCTCACTATTTGAGGTATGTTGTTGTTTTACTACAAATTTTACTAATTTTCAAATACATTACTTGTGAAGAATGGAAGCCATAATTATAGAATTTGATTATGGTATGGTATGTGATACATTGATCATTAAAGTAGTTCTGAATTTATTTGATTTGTCCACTTATCAAATTTCAGACATTTTTTAGCTCTTTTCTTTTCTTTATTATTATCGAATAGATAGCATAGTGAAATATTTTTCCTTCTTTTCTATTCTTAAATTTTATTCCGATTTTGTAATGAAGTCTGTCTTTTTTTTTTTTTTAGCACGATTCACCATGGTTAAATTCTATACCAGCTTTGGATTCAGTGAGGCACATATTCTATGAACCACTGCGACACTACATTTTAGCTTTGTATGTTCGCTTAGGACGCCACTGAATATTTGGAGATTTTTTTTTTTTTTTCATGTTAATTATCGAATTTAATGTTTTTTTTTTTTCAATCATCCTTCATTATTTAGCTCATTTTTTCTTTTAAGATGAGAGAAATATTTAAATCGCAAATTAGTTAAGTAAGCTTTTGATTTTACAACGAAATTTGTTGATATTTATTTAGGCAAAATGTTGTTTTGTTTGTCTTTTATGATAAAGATGAATTCTCATTTATTTTTGATAAAGATGGGATTTCTCATTTATTTGCAAAATTTGCATATTTTTGCTTTGACTATTTCCTGAAATATTCTTGCTGAGCCTTTCTATTTCACTGCTACAGTTTTCATCGTTAATTAGAACAGTTTTTTTTGTTTACTGTCAATTTGTTGGGTTAGTTTTTGAACAGTTTAACTTTCTACAGACCTAGGCACATTTTTTAAGTTCATCCCTCACTTAACAATGATAAACTTTTGATGTTAATCTTCTGAGTCCGTCTTCTGGTGCAAAATGATTGCACTGCAATATTAAAATATTTAATGTCCTTACCGCATAAGTTCATTTTCTTTTAGCCGTAATTGATATTGGGAGTTTAAGGATTTATTTCATTGCAGTTAAGACTTTTCCATTTTTTTTTTTTCAAATCTTTATTGAAAACTGTAATCCGTGCAATTGCTCCTGATTATGCTTATTTCGGTTGCAACAACCTTAATATGAATTATAAATAAATGATTTATTGTATGCACAAACATTTGATAATTTATGAAAAATTTTCTTTTTTCAAATTTTCTTTTTTTTGTTTTATTATTTTCATGAAAGCCGCGAAAACCGTTTTTTGTTTTTTATTAGTCATAAGACTGCCTGAAAATTCATTCGAATTAAAATTAATATGAAAACTTAAATTTAAGACTTAGAAGATATCAGACGAAGAATTAATTATTCTCTGATCAATAGTAGATTGCTACAAAATGAGATTTGAAATTTTTTATATTGGTAATGGTGAGATAAGTTAAAGCCAATTAAGCTCAAAATATAAAAATAAAGTAAATGCGGAATGATTTACCCTTTGAAATTTACCATAAATCTAATACCAAATGCAAGTTATTTGCCTATCTGTTAAATATATTAGCCATTGTTTTTTTCTAAGCGTTAAAAGTATAACTTTTTACTGTGTTAAATTCAATAAATAAATTATCAATGCTTTAAATATGCATTTCGAGCATAATTTAACAAAAATGAAAGTACAAATTTGATTGTTATTTAAAGTATGAAAATTTTAGCAAACTGCTAGGAATGTTACTGCTAATTAAAAAGTAAAGTAAAATTTTAAACAATAATATTTCTTTCTACAATACATATCAAATTATACTTGAATGATTACTCATATATATATTAAAAAAAAAACAATTTTAGTTAAAATAATTGTTTACGTTAACAAAGTCTTTATTTCCTATTTTTTTTTTTTTTTATCTGAATTTATCAAATTACATTTTAAAAAAAAATCTTTTTTTCTTATTTTTCTTGCACAATACTAAATTTTGTTTTTTTTTTTTTCAAATAATTAAGATAGGAATGAAATAATATTAGAAAGTAATCAATTTGTTCTGACAAATCAAATATTATTGATGATATTAATGGGATGGTAGGCAATATATTGTCGTGTGAAGTATGAAAGTTGTCACATAAATATGACATAATAGAGGAGGAGGAAGGTCTTTTTCTAATCACCATGACAACATATTCATTGTTTTTCTTCATATAAATTAGAAACGATGCTTCATTTTATTGCTATGATATCAATATATCTAAAAATTTAATTTATTATTTTTGATTTTTTTCATTTTGGATTTGTTAAAAGTTTTTTAATATTACTATTTCTTACATATTTTAGTTACAAATTTTGTTAGTATTTTTTTTTCTTTTAAATTTGTTAATTTTGATAGTATTAATGTTATGAACAGTTTATTCATATATATATAATAAAAAATAGTTACAAAATGCTAACACTGCTAATTTAAAATTTACTTTTGCATAAGATAAAGTTTAATTAATGCTTAGCCACAATTATACTTTAATTCATTTTTTATTTCAGTCCAATTTATAAGTGAAATTTAATAAATTACAATGATTATTTATTTATGGCATATATTAATATTATCTGAATTATGATATTTGCATAATTTGTTTATCATTTTGTAGCGTCAATTTTGCGCTAATTTCTAAATGATCTCAATGCGGTAAAAAAAACAAAAAACAAAAAAAAAAAAATGGAGTCACAACGGCGACGACATAATGGTTTTACTTGGCCACCGTCATTTTTACAATTACTTTTTTGGGTAACAATACCCATAATAGCTTCCAGTACTGCATTTTTGCTCATACCTTTGCATGTATTATACGCGCCTATTGCTGTTTTTATTGGGACAATATGGCTTATACTACAAATTATTATATTAACATTCATCGATCCAGCAGTAAGCAATTTGCAAAAAAATCAAGCACCAGCATATTTTGATGCTAGCAAACATGAGCATGTTATCGAGAATCTCTTCTGCAATATTTGTTTAATTAATGTGTTAGTAAATTTATATTTACTATTTAAAATTAATGTTCACTTTTTTATTTTTTAGATAGATTGATAAATAGATATTATAGGTTATAATTTTATTTTATAAATGAATTGTAATATATCTATTAAAATATTCCACTTATTAGCATTTTATCTACATGCTATGATAAAATAGGGTGCAATAAAATGTTGCATAATTAAGCGCAATTGTATATATGTGCTTAATTTACCTAATAATCTACTATTAAGTAAATAAGAATGAAATATTATTTGTTCTTTTTTTTTTTTTTTGCATTCATAAATTTATAATTGAAAAATGAATTTTAGAGATTCCACTTGTAAGCATTGTCGTCAATGTAACAAATGTATATCTGGATTTGATCATCATTGCAAATGGCTTAATAATTGCATTGGTGCGGTAAATTATAGGTTAGTTTCCGTAAAAAAAAAAATAAAATTTTGTTTTTGCTCATTTCTTAAGAATAATTTTTATTTTTCATTTTTTTTTTTTTGTAAGAAGCAAAGATGAAGAGAATGTAAAATAAGAGTTATTATCAATTTTTTTTTTATTGGTATTTTTTTAACTCTTTTTGCAAATGTCTTTTTATTTATGATTTGTTTGAGTTAAAAAATCCTCTTTTTTTTTTTGAATTTAATGAAAAAAACATTAAGAATGATTGTTGAATTTATTTTCTAATATTTATTCGTTAAATTTTCTCATTTTATTGTTAGCAAAATGAAATATTTTGTAAATTTGCATTAGTATTTTTAGATTATTTTTATTGTTAGTGTTATCAGTATGTTTTATATCAGCTCTCATATCAACATGTCTGCTTATCCTTATAGTGATATCATTTATCAGTATTGGATTACTTCCACATGCAGGTAATTTTATTTAATCAGGAATTTATTGTTTTCCTAATGAAATCTGAATGTTTTGGGTATATTAAATAATATGTGGGTATATTAAATGATGTGCGGGTATATTAAATGATGTGCGGGTATATTAAATGATGTGCGGGTATATTAAATGATATGCGGGTATATTAAATAATATGTGGGTATATTAAATGATGTGCGGGTATATTAAATGATGTGCGGGTATATTAAATAATATGTGGGTATATTAAATGATGTGCGGGTATATTAAATAATAGGTAGGTATATTAAATGATATATGGGTATATTGTAAGAAAAGTGAAAGAATTAGTAAGTTTAAAAAGTTGAAATTGCAATATTTATAATATTTGATGTAAAAAAAAAAAAAGAAAGAAAAAACAAAAAGAAAAAAATGAAATAAAAATAAGTTTTTTTTTTTTTTTTTTTTACATTTCAGATAAATTACCAATAAAATTATTATTATGGCAAAGTCTATGCTTTGCTGCTAGTATTTTATATTCTACGGTTGCTATTATGTGCGCACATTTACTCTATTTTCATTACAAATTATGTTAGTCATTTAAGGATTAATTATTTTATTAAATAATATTACTAAATATAATTATTTTATTCCAAAAAAAAAACAAAATCAAAAAAAAAAAGTATATCTTTTAGAAAGAATATAATTTTCTGAGAATATATATTTATATATTTGTTTTTTTAAAAAAAGGTAGATAATTGAAATGATAATTATAAAGAACAATTTATTCTTTTTTTTTTAATTGTTTTATAATAAAATTTATTTATTTATTTATTTGTAGGGCAACGTGGCATGACAACATATCATTTCATACGAATTAATAGAAGATGCATGGTATGTTTATTTTTAATTAAAATAATTATCAATTGATCATTATAATATAATTCAACATGAAAAGTTCTTTTTTTCGATTTGTTTGTTTGTTTGTTTGTTTTTGTTTTGTTGTTATTTATGATTGTTTTTACTTTTACTTCTTTACATGAAGAAGTGAAAAAATTGCAAAATAAAATTTAACTTTGATACTTGTTTTTTCTTTTTTTTTTTCACTTTTCCATACAATAAACAAAAGATAAACAATGTTAGAGAATAAATATTGATTTTATATAATATAAATATATAAATAAATAAATATGATTTTTTGCTTTTTTATATAATATAATAAAAATAAATATAATTTTTTGTTTTTTTTTTATATAATATAAATAAATAAATATGATTTTTTTAATTTTTTTTTCCTCTTTTCTTTTTTGTGCTACACAACAATATATAAAATTATTAAAACAAAATTTGACATTTTATCTATAAATAATATTTTATTTGACATTTTATAAATGATATTTTATATAATTGTTATTTCATTTTGCATCTATAAAAAACTAATTTTTTTTTTTTGAAAAATAAGTTCAAGAGGTGATAAAAACTTTTCACTAATTTAATTTTTGCATAATTAATTTACATTTTTATTTAGAATAATCAACAACAGCAACAGCAACAACAACAACAAGAGAAGAATCTATCATTAAATGTTAATACAATACCTGGTTTAAATCCACTCGAGAAAACCTGTTCCAAATTAGGTGTTATTAAATCAAGAGCTATTCATGATTCGAACATTGATAATCCATATGTCTCTTTTACATTTCAAGAAAATTTCACTAATAATGAACTCAAATAATTTAGAATTAATACTCATTTCATTTTATTTATCCTTTATGATTGTCCTTTATAATAAATACTTGAATAAAATGAAAGAAAGCAAAAAAAGGAAAAAAAAAATTCACAAATGAATTTCAATTTTATTATTCTCGAAGTGAAACAATAGAATAAAATTTCTTGTTGGATTGTGATTAGTTCTTGAGCATTTTTAAATTTTAATATAATGCTTTTTTTAATTTTATAATTTTAATATATGACATTTAAATTTTTTTTTTAATATTTATTTATTTTTTTAAATGATTTTTAAGTTTATGCTTTATCCATGTCAACTTTATCACATTTTTTTTTTTTTTTTTTGTTCATTATAGATTTGATAAGCTGAGCTTAACAACAATTTGTTTCTTTCATGAAATAAATATTATCTCTCTTTTCACATATTTCAAACAAATCTCATAACTACTAGATTGCCTTGCATTTGTAATAGATTGCAATAATTTCAAAAATTTCATTCTTTATTTCTTCTCTTCAACTAGGCATACATTATCACGACAAATGCGCCAATGATAACAAAAAATGTTCGTATAGAAGTGGTCAACAAGTATTTCTTTAAAGTTATTTCACTTTTAACTTAATTTTAGACGATTGATTTTTCATCTTAATTACAAATTGTTATGATGTCCTCGGTGAAATGGTGGCGGTGAATGTACAATGTGACAAAGACTGATTGATAGATGTTCTCAAACAGCAGCAAACTAAAAAATATTTGTTGTCGCTAAAATTTTTAAACAAAAAAAAAAAAAGAGAAAGCATGAAAGTTATCAAAATGAGTGTCACAATTACCCTGGTGACACTCATTCCCCTCTCTGATGGACAATTATTGGCACAGATTTGATCTTTGTTCTCTTGAGACTTCTGGAGAGGACAAGGAAGTGATATAATGATAAGCTGATGGCTTTTTAAATAATATAGTAGTGATGCAAAGTGCAGATCGTGCATGCAGTATGGATATCGATAATGGTGTGCTTAAAGAAATTGCAGGAAAAAATTTTGAAAAAAAAAATGAAATAGCAAAGATAGAAGGGTTTTTCTTATCATTGATTTCTTTTTATCACTGATATCAGTTGCTGAGCATTCATGTTTGCTGATTGATTAATAAATGAATTAATTAATTTATCAGGAGATAAATTGCAGGAAAAAATTGTGAAAAAAAAAATGAAATAGCAAAGATAGAAGAATTTTTCTTATCATTGATTTCTTTTTATCACTGATATCAGTTGCTGAACATTCATGTTTGCTGATTGATTAATAAATGAATTAATTAATTTACCAGGAGATAAATTGCAGGAAAAAATTCAAAAATAGGAATGAAATAGCAAAGACAGAAGAGTTTTTCTTATCATTGATTTCTTTTTATCACTGATATCAGTTGTTGAACATTCATGTTTGCTGATTGATTACTAAATGAAATAAATAATTTACTGGGAGCTAATTCTATATGAAAATGATTTTCATTGAAATATTATCTGATACAATTTGACGGGTAATTCCAACTGATCAAATTTCGTATGCAAATAAAAGTTCTAATTTCAACAATTATAATTATTTTGGTTTATTATACAAATATTATTGATTCATTAGAAATGTTAAATTAATTTATGTCATTTCAATTCAGTGATCTAATTTGCTTACATTTATTCAGTGATAAGATTAAAAAAAAATATTTTTCATTATAATATGCTTATTTTGTTTTTATTTAATTTAAATCTATTAGTAATTTTATTGATAACTTCGTCTAAAATGATTAAAAGTTTGAAAAAAAATCATTAAAAATTCAATAATTCAGTATTTTTTCCATCTTGTAAGTGTGTTTGTAATAATATTATTTTCGTATAGAAGAAAAGAAAAACAAATTGTCACATTATTTGTCAACTGATTATATAAGAGTTAAAATAATTTACAATTCGAATAGTTCATGCAACTTTTAAGAGAATTAAAAAGAAAAAAAAAAACTTATGCTTTGATAATTTACTCTAATTATATATATATTAGTGTTATATTTTTATTGCATATTTTACGATATTTTTATTGATTGTTTTATGATATCTAATAAATTCTTTGAAATTCGAAAATGCAAGAATTCAAATATTTCAAATAGTTACCAATTGATTACATTAACGAAATGTTATATTATCGAAGGATAACAAAGAAAAATGGAAGAGTGAATGAGGGAAAATGGACCATCTCCGTTCAAAGTGACCATCCCGCTTGAACTGACCATCTCCGTTCAAAGTGACCATCCCGCTTGAACTGACCATCTCCGTTCAAAGTGGTCATCCTGTTTGAACTGACCATCCCCGTTTAAACTGACCATTTCCGTTCAAAGTGGTCACTCTCATTTAAACTGACCATCCTCGTTTAGACTGAATTTCCGTTCAAACTGACCGTTCCCGTTCAAACTAACCATCCTCGTTTAACTAAACCTCCATTCAAACTGACCATCCTCATTCAAACTGACCATCCTCGTTAAGACTGAATTTCCGTTCAAACTGACCGTTCCCGTTCAAACTAACCATCCTCGTTTAATTAAACCTCCATTCAAACTGACCATCCTCATTCAAACTGACCATCCTCGTTTAGACTGAATTTCCGTTCAAACTGACCGTTCCCGTTCAAACTAATCATCCTCGTTTAACTAAACCTCCATTCAAACTGACCATCCTCATTCAAACTGATTATCTGTGTCCAAGCTAATAATCTCTGCCAGTATTAATGATCAGCAGTAAAATTCCAAATAATTAAAAACATTTTTTATTTTACCAAAATGAGCTGAAATAATTGATTTCAACATTTTTCGATGTATGTATGAAATGCTAATCGTTTTTGCTAAGATCACTCATTTAAGTATAAATTTAATTTTTATAAATTGATCTGACACTTTTTGTTGTTGTTCTTTTTTTAAAAAAAAAAAAAATGATATAGACATTTCTTGTAAAATAATAATAATAGAATACTTTCTGTTGTAGCTAAAAGTTTCTAATGTAAAATATGTTTAAATAATCAAAATATTTTATTTTTAAAATATTTCTCAGTGAAATCATTCATCACAAAAAATTAATATTTCAACGTCTATTGAGATTTTTTTTCTTTTAATTAAACTTTTATCTTTATTTCTAGTTATCAAACTTATCTTTAATGGTTAAAATAACACAAATTAATTTATAATGTAAATACTATCAGTCTGATAATTTAACTTATATTCACTATTTAAACTATTATAAACCAACTTTTCAATCAAATTTAAAATTTTTAGAACAACTTTCTTTCCCTCTTTCTCTCCCTCATTTTATTTTCGTTTTATAAAAATGCTAGAATTCTCATTCATTTTTGTACCACGAACTACAATGTTCTCTTTATAGATTACTTCTAGTATCATATTATAATCTTTAACATACTCCTGCTTATCACTAATACTTATCAACAATGAAGAACTAAAATTATCAATATTGATTATTTTTTTGACAAATAAATTTTTTAACAAAAATTTCTTAAAAAAAAAAATAATTTGCAATAAATAAGTTGAAAAAATTTTTTAAATATTTAATAATTGCACAATTCAGTGTTAACATTTTATAATTGCTAATGAATTAAAATTTGTTTGTAATTTTATTTAAGCACTGAAAATGATAGAACTGAGAAAATTCAAGTATTTAGTTTTTTGTATTTTTTAAAATTTAAAATTACTCTTTAGACAGTACTCTTCTAATCAACTAATTAACATATCCAAGAATAGAACAATTCATACTTTCAACCTAATTAGACTAAACTTTTAAGAAATTTCACAAAATTATATTTAATCAGAAATAATTACTAACCTTCTTGCTTTTCATTTGCAATTATTTAAATTTTAAAATAAGCGAAAGTTTACTTCCTCGGATATTATGAGAAATATTTTTGATTACACAATTGTTATCATAATTTAACTTTCTTTTTCTACTCTCTTATTTTGAACTCTTTTTTTTTTAGTGAAATTTATAAAGTAATTTTATAAATGAATGGTTCACATTTACAGGTAAATTTAAAATGAAATAAAAAGAAGACGGAAGTTTGGTCATTTATATTTTGAATATTATCAGTTTATTATGCAAAAGAGTGATAATTTTATTGCACACATTATCATTTAATATTTTTGTGATTAATTATTCGTTATGCATATGTGTGACCTATGACCCGAAGATATCTTAAATATCTTTGTCAGAATTTTTTTTTCGGTTAAAAATGATTATATATTCGATAATTTCGAGAAGAATTTTGATAAGAATGCCAACACTTAATGAAGCATTCAGTTTGGACAACTTTTTTAATTTCTGTAATATTTACGTGGTTATTATCATTGTTTACTGGTTGTTATCAGATTTGTTTATCATTATTATTGGTTGTTATCAGATTTGTTTATTATTATTATTGGTTGTTATCAGATTTGTTTATCATTATTACTGGTTGTTATCAGATTTGTTTATTATTATTATTGGTTGTTATCAGATTTGTTTATCATTATTACTGGTCGTTATCAGATTTGTTTATTATTATTATTATTGTTTATCAGACTTAATAAATAATCCTTCATTGAACATTCAATTTAATAATATCATTTGCAAACTGTGCTAAAAAGAATTTTTTGTGTTTTCCAGAAGTTTTCCAAAAGTTTAAAAAAGTATTTTTCTAATAATGAAATTATAATAATTCAAAAATAAAATTTCATATTTATCTCATACATAATAGCTAGGACATATACATATCTAATTTGCTTGGCTATATAGTTGCGACATTTTTCAAATGTTTATTCGTTCTTCAAATTCGTTTCAATCTGATGTCCTATTCAGTTGACATCTTTTTTGATCTCTAAATTAGCAAGGATAAATTGTAAACAAATTAATAAATTCTATCTTATAAAATAGTGATCATTCGATCAATGATAAAACGATTGGCAATTTAACAGAGCAAAAGAGTAATAAAAAAAAA